TGCACGCACACAAATGGACAGGTAATAGCCCAAGACTTAGCAGGTGTTTTTAATTATCTTTACTTATTTTTAAAAATATATATTTTATTGATTTTATACAGAGAGGAAGGGAGAAAGATAGAGAGTTAGAAACATCAATCAGAGAGAGTCATCAATCAGCTGCCTCTTGCACACCCCCTACTGGGGATATGCCCGCAACCAAGGTACATGCCCTTGACCGGAATCGAACCCAGGACCTTTCAGCGCAGGCTGACGCTCTATCCACTGAGCCAAACCAGTTTCGGCTCCACTGAATTTTTTAGAGTGGAAGGAAGGGAGGGGGAGAGAGAGATGTTGATTCGAGAGACACAGCAATTAGGTGCTTCCCCCATGAACCCCAACCAGGGCCAGAGATTGAACCTGCAACCCAGGTATAGCCCTCGAAGGGGGATCAAAAACTGGCAAGGGCTTAATTTCTAATTTTTTAATTAATATTTTTTCAGTTAGAGTTTACATCCAGAATTATTTTGGGTTAGTTTCCGATGTACATAGTGTTAGACAGTCTATACTTGACCGAGTGCTCCCCGATGTTTCCAGTCCCCAGCAGGCGGGTTAACATCTTCGTGGGCTTTAGAAAATGACCAAAGTGCTTTAAATGGAAGTTAAATGCCCTCTGCACCAATGACAGAAGCCATCTCCCTGGCCCATCCTCTCACGCGGACTTTCCCACCTCCCAGGCTCCGTCTCCCGACTCCAGAGCCTTGGCACCGAGGCTGGCTCATTGGATGTGCTGACCGGGTGGGAAGAGCAACAAACTTGCCCAAGGGCCTCACTGGCCTTTGTCCCCCAATACCAGGGAGCAGAACTGACTTCTGAGCCATGAACTGAGTCCCAAGCAAAGCCCCCAACGGGAGGTGGTCCCGGACAGGGCGGAGGTGGTCAGAGGGCGGAGGTGGTCAGAAGGCGGAGGTGGTCAGAGAGGGCGGAGGTGGTCCAGGGTGGAGGTGGTCAGAGGACGGAGGTGGTCCAGGACAGAGATGGTCCAGGACAGGGATGGTCCAGGGCAGAGAAGAGGAGAGCAATGCAGTCAGGATCAGTTAAACCAGCCATACACCCACCACCTGTGACACCACACAGGCCACCTGTCAGTCACGCCTGGTGCCGTCAGGCTGCTCCAGCTCTCAGGATCCACAGCAGCCCTGAGGGTGGGCCTCTCGGGAGAGACTCCTTGGGTTCTGCCGGGTCCTCGATGGTTCGCAGTCAGGGATCAGGTGGCTGTTAGAGGGGTCACTGGTGGCTGGGCAGGGCGTGCAGGGTAAAAGGGAGCTGAGAGCAGCAGGGAGGTGTGTGTGTGGGGGGGGGGGGGGGGGGGAAGAGCCAGGCTGCTACTCAGAGCACAAAGCCCGTTATTTTAAAACCCGGGTGTTGAGTGACGGAGGCTTTGTGGCTGCTGGTGGCCTGGTCTCAGAGCTGTCAGATGCACTCCTTCCGGGTGGCCACACGTGGCACCCAGGGGGACGGTCCCACTGCCACGTGGACACTCTAATTTGGAAAGCTGTTTGAGTTTTGGTGGCGGTAGAGCTGAGGAAAGGCTGGGACTGGCCCAGGGAAGGCAGTGACAGGAACCGGCAGGAGCTGAGCCAGAGGCCCAGGGAACAGAAGCTTCCGGAAACCACAGCCACTTTCAGGGGCAGAGAAATGCCCAGGTGCCCGCAAATCACTGGGGTCCAGGCCGGGACTGAGGCTGAGCCATAGTGTGCGTACCGTGTCCACCCCACAGAGGCTAGGCGCTGCCCTCCCACTGCCTCCGCCTCCCATGCCTCCCCCCCACCCACCCATGGCCCCCCACCTTCCCATCACCCCGACCTCCATGGCCCCCCACCCTCCCATCACCCCAATCTCCCATGGTCCCCCACCCTCCCATCGCCCCGACCTCCCAATGCCCCCCACCGTCCCATCACCCCCACCTCCCAATGCCCCCCACCCTCCCATCACCCTGACCTCTCAATGCCCCCCACCCTCCCATCGCCCAGACCTCCCACTGCCCCCCACCCTCCCATCGCCCCGACCTCCCAATGCCCCCCACCGTCCCATCACCCCCACCTCCCAATGCCCCCCACCCTCCCAATGCCCCCCACCCTCCCATCACCCCCACCTCCCAATGCCCCCACCCTCCCATGGCCCCTTACCCTCCCATCACCCCGACCTCCCAAGCACACAGGAAGGCACAGGCGGCTTTCTGTTTAGTCTTTATTTACAGCCAAGTACAGAGCATGTGGCCATTCCTGTGACTGCGAACAATCGAGACCCGGTTAGCAGGCGGAGGGAGAGCAGGCGTCTCAAAGGAAAAGGCCCAAGTCCCTGCCCAGGAAGCTCCACACCGAAGAGCAGCGAGGAGGCTGCGCCACCCGCCACCCGCCACCCGCGAGGGAGGCAGGGCGGAGAGCTCAAAGGGCTCTGAGCTCCACTCAGCCCAGCGATGCCCTCCCTTGGCCCACCCCACCCCGAGAATGGGGTGAAGGGCAGCAATCAGGTGACCTCAACCAGCTGGGCTCCAGCCCCTCCCCGCCACCTGCCTGCAGCCTGACCCAGTGGCCTGAGACTGCTGACCCACTGGCACCCAGACAAGTGTGCAGCTGAGCCCAGCAGGCAGGAAGCCAGTGGCCAAGCAGCGGAGCGGAGGGGAGGGGAGGGGCACTGCAGGGACCTGTCCCACAGGGGGCGCTGGAGAGCCTCGGTCCCCGCCCTCAGCCTCCCTGAGCTCCTGTGGCCTCCCACTCCCAGCAGGACACCGAGGCAGCACCTGCGCTTCCTCACACGGCCCCACCTCGGCTCCCACAGACCGGCTGCCCACGGGAGAGGCCACAGCAGCTCCGTGGGCCTGAGGGGTGCGGGGCCAGGCCTTCCCGCGGGCGGCCGAGGCTTCACGCCGCTTCCCACTCCCCGGTCTGCGGACAGCGGTGGGAGGACGTGCAGAGGGAGAAGCAAGCACCGTGGGCTCTGAAGCCCAGGTCCCGTGGGCATGACCGGCATCACCCACTGCTCCTGCTACCAGCCCCAAGGCAGGAACCGGGACGTGGCCGTGGCCTCAGGACTCTCGGGGCGATCAGAGCCCCGCGGCTCTCGGACGCCCGTCCAGGACTCGTCCTACGGGAGCTCAAGTTCAGCCTCAGCAGCTAAACGCTGGGCCGCGGGGCTTCCCTTCCCTGGCCCAGGGCACGGGGCTCCCAGAACCCGGCCGTCCTCAGCACCCCCAGCCGAGCTGCTGGGAACTGGAGGTGGTGTTACTGGGAGGCAGGGCGCTCGGCCACCGCAGCTCAGCCCCCACCACGGTGGACGAGGCGGCGGCTGCTAGTCTGGGCGGAGATGAGCAGGCCGCCTCCCGAGGCCGGGGACCACAGCCAAGGCACTAAGTGGTTTGGCACCTGGAGCTTCAAGTACAGTGAGGGTGCCGCCCGCTGACGGACAGGCCGGGCTCTGGCGGGACAGGCCTCCCGGAGCACACGGGCCCCGCGGCGGGGGGATTGACCCAGCCTGCCCTCCGCCCCGCACCTCGGAGCCGTGTGAGGCAGCCGGGAAGGAGTGAACACTGATTCTGAAACCCCAGCACCTCCGCCCGGAGCCTCGCCTCAGAGCCCGGCCCCACCAGGCGCCTCAGGGCCAGGAGCACCCTCCGGGCCTGACATGTCTCCCCACGGGCTCAGGGGGGTTAGGTTTGAAACAGCAAAAACGGTTCGAGTCAAATCGCATACAGAAAAGAGGGCTCAACAGGAACGGTGCTCGAGGGCACGTGGCAGGGGGACCCGAATGGCTCCAATAAGGGGAGGGGGCGCCAAAACACCCCAGCAGGGCAGAGCGGCGGAGGGCAAGCCGAGGGCGTGCGACCGAGAGAGGGGGGGCTGTCTCCCGGGCAGTGACAGGCTGGGGCGCGGACTCTAACCAGACCCCCCCTTGTTCCCCCGCTTCCCGCACCCCCTCCAGCCAGACCCCAAGAACCTGCTTCTTCCAAAGCTACTCATTTCACCAAGAGGAAGCCCCCGGGGAAGATGGGATTCTCCACCCCAAGCCTCTCATCCCAGGACCCCAGCTCAGGGCCTAAACACCGTTTCCCATCTCCCCTCACGCCCGGCGTGGCCGCCCTCGAAAGGCAGCCCCTCTGCGATGCCGCCGGCGATGTCGCTGCTTAAGGTGCGTGCCACCCCATCTCCCTGCAAACCCCACATCTCCGGGGCAAAGCCACCGGGCCCTGCCAGCTGGCCTTCTGCTAGAGTCTCTGAGCACCCGACTGCAGGGGACCGCGGTGCGCCCCTGGGAAAAGCCGGGAGCCTGGTCCCTGCCGGAGACGAGGGACAGGCAGCCCTGGCTTTGGAGACCGAGTCGCGGGGAGGGAGGGAGTCGTCACGCCGCCCCCCCCCCGAGCAGCCAGGGGTGGGCGTAGGGTGGGCCGCTGGGATGACGCAAAGACGCGCTCTCTCCAGAGGGCCCCTTCCCTGAGTTTGATTTTTCGGGCGAGGTCTTGCCTAATTTCAACTCAAAAGAAAAAAAAAAAAAAGTCTCTCATCGACACGTCAGTAAGCTGCAGCTCCAAGCAGTGCACTGGGCGGGCCTCAGCATGGGCCACGAGCCCCGCCCGCCCCCCGTTCCCACCTCCCAAGTGCCAGCCGCCCGCCTGGACGCCGGGGCCACCTGGCCTCAGGGCCCTCCTGCAAGACACTGAGCAGCAGACAGCTTTACAGCATGTTGTACGTTTCCACAAAAATAGATCCTTTTATGTACGCGTGTGTATTTGTAACCGGTACAGGTTGGCATGATTAGACGTCACCAGTAGTAAGTAGTTGGCACAGTTCGTTGTGTAAGCTCAGGGTCAAGTTCCATTTCAAGATCAAAGGCGTTTCTTTCCGTGTCGTTTCTTAAATAAGCAGAGTCCTAGGAAACCGTGTGTGCAGACGGCCACGCCCCGCCCCTGCCGCCGTCCGTCCGACCATCCGTCCGTCCGGGAGCGGGGCGGGTCCGGGCGCGGGTCAGTGCGGCCGGCTGCTGGACTCGGAGGCCTGCCTCTTGCGTGCGGGCGTGTAGCCGTTGAGATAGCCGTTGGTCTGCCGCTTGGACAGCCCTCCGTTGAGAATGTCCTGGATGTGCTGCACGATGAGGTTGATGGCCACTGGGGGGCGGAGACGGGCAGCTGTTAGGGATGTGCCCAGGGAGGAGGGAACAGCCCCCCCAGCCCCGGGCCGGACTGATGTGACCCCCGGAGGGTCCCACGGGAATGAGGGCCATGCCCGGGGCACAGGGCAGCAGGAGAGCCAACCCTGTCTGCGGGCGCGAGGCCTGCCTACATGGCACCACCAGGCTATGGCCGTCCCACGAAACCTCCCACCGCCCGGGAAACTGGGGAGGCCTCTCACTCTCTTTTCTTACCATTGGAGACCAACTATGCAAATGATTAGCTTCAAACACAGAAGCACCAAGTGCTTTCTGGGATGACACGCAAAGAACATGTCTTCCGGGCGCTGTCCCGGTCATGCCAACTCAGCCTCCCAGCTGAGGGACCCAGACAAACCCGGATGGCGGGCCACCTACAACCGTCTCTGTCGTGGGAAAGACAGGCTGAGGACGATAGGAGGCAGACAGCGAGAGTCCCAGCAAAAGAATTAAATGTTTTAAATGGAGAAAATCTGAAATAAGTTATGAGAGAAGGAGAAGGCAGGGCTTCTCCACACCCTGACTCCGGCCAGGGAGTAACGGTCCACGTGTGTGCCCACATTCACACGTGTTAACCCAGGGCCGGTGCCCACAGCCGGGGCGTTCCTTTCCGGGGCCTGCCGCCCTGCAGGGCCTCGTTTGGCCGCCACGCCCGCCCCAAAGCACGACACCCGGGGGACTCACCGAGATTGTCTACACCTCTGGGAATGATCACGTCCGCGTACTTCTTAGTCTGCGAAGAAGATATTTACAATGCACTCAGAGGGGGTCAGAGAGAAACCGGCCCCAGCCGCCCGGGGGAACGTGGGGACTGGGCACCTTTTCTCCACCTAGCTCAGCTACCCGGCCGGGCTGATTTATGATAATTTAGATAAAGCGGGTAAAAAACATTACTGGGCTGATTTATTATAATTTAGATAAAGCGGGAAAAACCCGCTTTATCTAAATTATCATAAATCAGCCCGGCCGGGTGGGGTAGCTCAGTTGCTTTCGTATTCAATCTCTGGTCAGGGCACATATAAGAATCAGCCAATGAATGCATAAATAAATGGAACAAATCATTCCAGCACCTCCCCTTCCTCTCTCTCTAAAATCAATCCGTTAATCAATCCCAGACAATCAGCTTTTCCTCAAATTCACATTCGAACGTCCCACGTGGTTTCAGTTTACAACCTGCAGGGAGAACGTGGTCTTTGAGACCAAACCTGTAATTGCTTCGTCACCCCCAAGAGAAGTGTGAGTGACACCCCGACTTCGGGGGAGCAGTCCCCCTGGCACTTCGCAGCCAGCGGCCTGAGGTGAACCCAGAAAAGGCCTCTGGATACAGGTCACCGGCCCTGTCACTGCCCTTACTTTAAAAATATGCTTTTATTGATTTCAGAGAGGAAGGGAGAGTCAAAAACATTAATAATGAGTCATTGATCGGCTGCCTCCTGCATGCCCCACACTGGAGATGGAGCCCACAACCTGGGCATGTGCCCCAGCTGGGAATCAAACCGTGACCTCCTGATTCAGAGGTCAACACTCAACCCCTGAGCCACACTGGCTGGGCTACACTTTTTGTTAAAGGGTACAATTAGCGCAGAACCCTTTTTTTATTTAACTTACTGAGATTCTGAGATTTTGTGGCCCGTTTTCCAAAGAACAGTGTCTGGGTGCATAACCCAGGTTTAGGGTGAGGCCACATAAACGTGAGCATCTCTAGAGTGGAACGATGAAAATACAACTAGGCCTGACCCAGGCAGACAATCAGTTCCGAGCTCCAGGCTCACCCAGGAGGGACCCACTCAGCAGCTACAACCCGAAAATGTTTGTGCCAAATTCTGAGCTCACGACTAAATCAGTCAGCCGGCAGAAAATGGCAGTTAACACTAATTCATGTCCAAGGGTAAATTTAGTTTGCTCTCTGATTACGTGAACAAGAGCAGACAGAAGTCCTCAGACAGAGGGACGGACGGACGGATAGAATTTCACGGCCGCTCGGCCCTCTTCCCAGAAACCTAACCCTGAAAGCCAATCCGCAAGGTTACGCCTGCTGACTCAGAGCCGGCCTAACCCTGATCGGAAACAAAGTCAAGTCTGTCTGACGCAAGACCTGCTCCTAGCGGACGGGGAGGAACAAAGGCAGCGGAGAAGCTTGTCTCTCCAGGAAGCGAGCAGGACCTGGTCCTCACTCTGTGCCTCTTCTCATCCTCCCCGCCTCCAACCACCAGCCCCCAGGCCCCGGCCCCCACGGGTACCACATGGACCAGGCCGTGCCCCACCCACGCCCTCCTCAGAGCTGTCACAAGCCCTTGGGGAGCTAGGCCAGGGCTTGGTCCGCCTGGCGGAGACACCAGAGTCCCCTTCCTCACGCAGGGCGCCCGGTCCCTGGTGGCACTCATTCTCCCAAGAAGCCGAGGAGCCCCCTGCCCTGACCTTCCTGCTCAGAAAGCCTCCTGGCTGCCAGGCTGCTGGGGCCGTGCCCTCCCCACCACCCCCCTGCACACACTCCACCCAGAAGGGACCTTTCTCAGGGGCCCACGGCCGAGGCCGAGGCCGCCCAGAGCTGTGAGCCTTCAAGGAAGCACTCACACCAGGAGCCTGGCCACGAGATGCAGACCTTCCGGGGACCGAGCAGCAGGACCCTGAGGCCCCGACGAGGATGACCAGAGGCCTGGGGTCAGACTGCAAAGCGCCAGAGGCCGCCCTTCCCGGGCCTCCAGCAGGCGAGGCTCGGAGTGAGCTGCAGCCGGGCACTGCCTCAGCCCACACCCCATGCGTCTGATTACACCTTACAACCCCGGTTCAACAAAACACATGGGAACACAACTCACCGGCAAGCAGAACTCCTCGAAGGCGGGCTTGACGAAGGTGATGTACTGGGACAGGATCTGCTCCAGGTCCCGGCCCCTCTCGCTGATGTCTCTCAGCACTGGAAGAGAATGGGAGCGGGTGGGAAATGGCGTCAAAGCCTCTGGATAGGCCACATGCTGGGGCCTGAGCCGTGACCTGAGCAGGTGAGCAGCGGCTTCGGAAGACAAGTCCCATATCTACGCATGCTGCAGTCAAATTTGGTGACGGGCTTGAGGCTCTGAGCCACAGCTGCACGGCTTAGTGGTTAGGAGAGGCTCCCTAACCACTCCTCCCTAACCAGTCCTCCCTAACTAGTCCTCCCTAACCAGCCAGACTTGCCTGACGACCTGACTATCCTCCCAGACCGGTCAAATGTTCAAGCAGCATTTGACCTAATAAACTGCAGAGTGAACAGCCAAAGAGCAGGCTGTCCTGGCAGCTCACAATAGGAGGAACCCTGGCCTGCAAGGTGGTGGGCTTCCCGGCGGAGGGCACAATGCCCACCTGCCTCCTGCCTCCTGTCTCCTATCCCCGCATCTGTGTGCCGTCAGCGACCCTCGGCTGCTGTGCCCACTGGTCTCGCCGGGCTCACAGCCCCGCACATCCAGGCCCTGCAGAGGAGGGCAGGCAGGGACCCTCTGGGGTCGGCCTGTCCCACTCAGTTGTGACCAGGTTTGCAAACAGACAACAACTTGGTGAGCAATGAGGAAACCACGGTGCAGGGAACAGTGGGTTAACGCTGGGAGGCAGCCCAGACTGACCCAAACTCACTGCGCTCCTGGGCAGGGTGATGCCAGGACATACAAACACCTTTTAACTGACTCCTTTGTCCAAAATGGAGAGGGGCTGCCCGGCGAAGGGACTGAACAGTGGCTCTGCCACAGAGCACGGGCCACCCAAGCCTGTTTCCCCAACTCAGCAGTGAGCTGAGAGGTGAGGTGTCACAGCCCCCGCGCCCCCCCGGACCCTCCCACCCCTGCCCTGCCCTGACCACGTGGCTCAGTTGTTTGGGGCGTCTTCCCATGCACAAAGGGTCACTGGGCTGATTCCCAGTCAGGGCATATTCAGGAGGCAACTGATCTGTTTCTCACATGGATGCTTCTCTCTCTCTTTCTTCCTCTCCCTTCCTCTCGCTCTAAAGTCAACTGAAAAAATTAAAAACAAGCAAAAAAAAAAAAAAAAAAAAAAACAGCCTCTCCCTACAGAGGTTACTTTGATTCTTGGTGCACAAGCTGTGAAATGTTTCCTCACCCCCCAAAAGGCACCACTCCATCCCCAAACACGGGAGCGCCCCCCCCCCCAGCCAGCCCTCAGGGCACAGGCCCGGGTGTGGGGTGAAGCCGGGTGAAGCCGCTGTGAACCGACACAGGGAATGCTTGTGAGCGATTTCTGGAAAGTCACATCTGAACAATCCCGTTTGCACTCACCTACGCACATGGACACACATGATCGGGAGGGGCATGGGAGCAGGGGGTGTCATGGCTGTGACCTAGGCTGGAGGGGACCAGTATCCAGGACCACAGTCCAGAGCAGGTACTGCTGCTAGCCCAACTTCCTCCAGCTCCACCGAGGTAAGCCCAGGGAATAAGTGGTGGGTTGGCCCTTAACCTCCCTAACCAATCCTTCCCAAACAGTCCTCCCCAACCAATCCTCCCTAACCAATCCTCCCTAACCAGTCTACAAGTCCTTCCTTACCACTCCTCCCTAACCAGTCCTCCCTTACCAGTCCTCTTACCATTCCTCCCTAACCAGTCTACCAGTCCTTCCCAACCAATCCTCTCTAACCAGTCTACCTGTCTTCCCTTACCAGTCCTCCCCAACCAGTCTACCAGTCCTCCCTTACCACTCCTCCCTAACCACTCCTCCCGAACCGGCCAGACTTGCCTGACTGTCCCCCCTGACCAGAGAAGCTGTCCGGGAAATGGCCTGTCCCCCCCACTTTCCGGCAGGCTCTGCAGGTGGGACTCGGCCAAGACACACAGCAGCGGCCACCAGTCCTCCACGTCCCCAGATAAAGGCCAGCCAGAGAGGAAGCCAGAGCCTCAGGCTATCGGGGCTGGGACAAAGCCAACGCCACCTGCAGCTTCCTCACAGCCTGGCACAAGCCCGAGGCCCTTTCACAAGACGAGCTTTTCACACAGCTGACCGAGTTCCTGGACAGGAGTCCGTCCTTGCCCTGCCCGTGTGCACATGCACACACACGCACACGTGCTCACATCCTCAGCCCAGGCCTGCAGACCTGAACCCCGCACACCTGACAGCCCTCCCGGCACCCGCTGGCGGGGGAACAGCAGGGAACAGGCGGCCCCTGCATCTGCTCCAGAGCCCGGAAGTCGCTCCCCCCACCCCCCCACCCCCCCACCCCCTCTTGGCTTCTGCTCTCAGCTGCTCCCGCCTCTGAATCGCTCCCTTCCTGACGACGTGGCTGTTATGGGGGGACACGCTGAGGGAGCTTCAGGGCCCAGCGGGCACCGTGAACTGAGGGCAGTGGCAGCCCAGCCCAGAGCAGAGACTGCACAGCAGCTGGAGGGGGGGCGGGTGCAGTGCGGGAAGGAACAGCAGGACACACACAGCACATGTATGCACACATACATAACACACACACACAAACACACAAACACAAGAAAAGGCTGTGGTTTCCACCCCCGACGCTGGGCCACTGAACGTCTAAAGGCCCTTCGTCTCGCCTCCCCTCTGGGTGCCTCCGGGGCGCAGTCTCTTTGGACGGGACGGGCCCTCCCTGTTGGGACACAGAAAGTCGAGTGCCGAGTCCGGACAAGCTCTTGGTGCAAAGTGGGAACTCAAGGTCTCAAAGCCGGCTCCTGGTCAGCACTGTGACCTGCACAGCTGTGCCAGGCCAGGCCAGGAAGGGGTGGATCAGGGCAGGACAGTGCACATCCACCCACATGTCCACCTCGGCCTTCCAAAGCCACGTGCCCCTTCCGCGCAGCCAACGCCGGACGCCACTCAGCGGACCATGATAAATCCAATTCGGTGGCTGAGTCATTTCTCCTTTAGGGGCTCTCCCCGGTGGTGTTGGGGGCGGGCCGGCGCCCTCGGAAGACCTCTTTCCGGGATGCAGGATGCAGAACAGATGCCCGCCCACGCAGGAGTGACACACAGGTGTGCCAGGATCTCACTCAGACTGCAGGAACGTCCCGTGCCCGTGCCCTGCAGCTGCTCCTGACCGCCCCCTCCCGGGCAGCCCCGCCCCTACAGAGCCCCTGCCAGGCTGCCCTGTGTCCCGCGTGCACTGAGTGATCTGAGCAACAGCACGCCGGGAAGTCCCACAGTGCACCAGAAAGGGACTCGCCAGGGGGCGGCACGAGACGGCAGGTCCTGCAGAGACCCAGAACCTTCCCCGGGAGACAGGGAAGGTGGGGCTGAGAGCCCAGGGGCCGCCTGTCCACTTCCCCCCAGAACGGCCAGGACAAGCGAGGGACTTCCTGTTCCATCTCCACCGCCCACTCACTCACTCTCTCATCTGATCTCACCGCCTCCTGAGGCCAATCCTCACAGGAGGACGCCTCCCCCTTCAGGCAAAGGGCCTCAGACCCACACACAACACTGACTGTCGGATGCCCTGCGCTCACATCCCCTGCAGCTCCTCCGAGGTCACAAACAGCCCAGGAGGACCAGCCATCCGGCAATCGATGGGAAATGGGGTCTGAAGAGGTGAAAGCCATTTGCCTGAGGTCACCCAGCGACCGAAGTAACGGGAAACCAGGGCTCGGGTCCATCCACCCGGCTGTCCCTCCTCGTGCCTCCCGCTGCCTTCCTGTGTGCGAGCCACCGTGGCCCTGCAGCCACCCAGGGGGTGGGGTGTGACTTAAGGACAAGCCAGGCCCAGAGGCAGGTGCACGAGGAAGTGTCAGGCTCGGGCGCAGCTGTCACAACTCCCACCTGGCCAGTCTCAACCCTACAACCCAGAGGTCTCCCGATTACCCATGAAGAGATCCACCAGCATCTCAGAACCAGCTGGAGCCCTGCTTTGTCCGTCAGAGCTCTGCACCCCGCCCACGTGCCCCAGCCCCCCAGCCCCCCAGCCCCCCAGCCCTGGAGCCGAAGTCACCGCCGGCGTGCGGACCCCGCTACCACTCGGGGGCAGGACCCTGGCTTGCTTCTCCACAGGGGCCGTGTGCAGCCCTGGCAATCAGACCTCAGAAATGAATCAGCTGCGCATGTCTCAACCGGGCACACTTCCCAGACGCCGAGGGGGAGGCTCTGGCTGGCACTCAGCAGAACCAGCTGCCACTGGCTGCTCGGTGCCGAGGGGCTACCGAGTCATTTCCTGTCTCCACGGGGCCTGAGTCAGCCTGCATTCCCTCCCCACGGCACTGCCTCCGGCCCTCTCCTCTCTCCCCAGCTGCCCCCGCCCCGCCCCCACCGTGACACAGCCCGCCAACAGCCCATGCGTCTTCACGTGTGTGCGTGTGCCTCTGTGGGTGGCCCCACGCCACCCCACCGCAGCCGAGCCCCATCCCCACTCCACGAAGCCTCCCTTGCTCTCTGCCCGACGCCCCAGAGCTGCCTTTGGGCTCAGCTCCCAGACCACAGGCCACAGGCCACTCTTAAGGCTCACAGCGTGGACAACCAGCTTTGTCTGAAGCCGCTGGACAGTGACGGCCCGGAGAGCTTTCTGGAAACCTAGGGGCCAGAGAAGCAGGCTGCGGGGGAGGCACCCGGCGCTGCCCCTGGGGTCCTGCCCAGCTGTCCTACCCTCAGCTCCGTCCCCACCGACAGAGGGGCCATGGGAACCTCACAGGAGCTGGGCCGCCAATCAGACGTTTCTCCGGAGAAACCGGGATTCGAACCTCCTCGTCATGTCCCTGAGCCCACAGCCTTTCGCTGCGGTGACCCGTCCCTTCTCGGCGCCACCCAGCGTCTGGGCGGCAGGCGCCGGCCCGGCAGGAGCCGCGCACGCACCTCTGCGGGAGAGCCGGGTGTCCGCGTCCGTGTCCACGAACAGCTTCATCTGGAACAGGTCGCGCACCTCCTGGGAGTAGAAGGCCAGGATGCCTTCGAAGAGCACCACGTCAGCGGGGTAGACGGTCACCGTCTCCTCCTTCCTGCACGCACAGAGCGGGCGGCTGAGCGGGCGGCCCGAGGTGGAGCCCCATGCACCAGAGCCAGAGCCTCGGCGGGAGCCCGGGTCCTCCGCAGACTCAGCAGGGACCCAGCGAGGCCGTGACAGGGGACAGGGCTCTCACTGGGGCAGAAACACCGCTGTGGGCGGAGAGGAGAGCCGACAGGAGCAGGGGGCTGCAGGGAGGTGCTCGGCCTGCATCCCTGAGGCTTCAGGGCCCTGGCTCTCGGTTTCCTCCAACAACCGGCCCTTCCCCAGGCCTGGGAAGGAAGGAGGATGGGTCCTGGGAGGGAGGGCCAGAAGACAGCTCCAGCGACTCCTCAGGAACCATCCCCTTTGGTGTCGGTAACGGACGTGTCCCAGCTGCTCCCAGACCCTGCTCATCAGGGCGCACAGGCTGCTGTCACTGCCCTCCCCGAGGGGGCCGTGGGCGGCGGGAGGACAGGGCCGGGCCCGGTGCAGGCGCCGCTCACTCACCGGGAATGGGAGACAAAGTCGTACACGGGAATCTGCACGGTTTTCCCCTCGGTGATCTCCTTGAGAGTCTTGAAGATGAGTTCATTGTCAAAGGCATCTGAAGGAGACCAGACGGTTAATGTCCTTCATCTCTAAGTGACTTCTCCTGCCCCGGGCACAGGCAGCCCTAAAATCCCGAGAGCTCTGTGTCTCAGCACGAGGCTGAGCTCTGAGAAGGGGTATTCCCCTGCGTGGCAGCCGTGCATATCAGCCCGGACGGCGCCCGGGGCCAGGAACGCCCAGGACGGGAGCGGCAGGCATCGGGCCACAGCCCCAATCCCTAGTACGCACTCCCACCCCCGCCGAAGGCGCAGCAAGCGAACCTGAACTTCGGGGACGCCAGCCCCAATGAAGTCGAACCCACAGGCTTTGTTTAAAATGGGCCAGAAAAGCCAGGTGTTCAGACAGCCACCCCGGACCCCCACCTTCCTCCTGCCAATCAGGGAGCTTACCCCCCAGGCGTGCCCGCACAGTGCGGGTGCGGACTGTGCGGCGAGGACACAGGACAGATTGCAGCTCTCGCCTGGGCCTGGCTCACCCACACAGCATCGCCCTCATCAGGACAGATGCCTCGGAATCAGGGAGCCACGCACTGCAGGCTGGGAAGCGCCCCGAACCCCGCAGGGCGTCCAGCAGCCTCGTCTCCGGCGGGAGGTCAGGCGGCTGCCGCCATCCCGGTGTCAGCCCTTCACTCCCCCACTCACCCGGGTGATCGAAGTTGAACTGGCCCTTGAGGGCCTTGGCCTTCTGCTCGGAGGTGAGGACGCGGTAGAAGCTGTCCTGGCTCAGGATGACCACCTGCCTGTGGTGGTAGTCCACCTCGTTCTGCCCCAGCAGCTGCACGATCTTCGCGCACACGGAGGACTGGAGGGGAGAGAGCACAGTGAGGGGCGCACGTCCGCTGCAGGCAGGGCTTCGGGAGGAAGTCGGGGTCCAGTCGCAGTGGGGGGACAGGAGGGGAAAGTCATTTCTGCCTCCCCTCCACACGGCTTCCCAAAGCCTCTCCCCGGCGGCGCTCCGACGCAGGCACAAAGCGGGCAGCCCCGTGGGAAGCAAGCCCAGGGTGGCGGGCTGACAGGCCAGACGCTCCCGGTCACAAAGGGGCCGGTGGGCGCTCAGGGGACAGAGCTCAGCCCCCACCCCCATCTCTATAGCAACAGAGTCAGCACCCACGGCGCAGGGCCCAGGCCGTGGCTGTGACCCTATCTCTGTAGTCCCTTCGGCTCCAGTCCACAGCCTCGGGCCCTGCACATCACAGTAAGCAGGGCGGCCTGCTCAGGCCTGGGGAACCGGTGACCTGGGGCTCAAACAGCACCACAGCAACTTCGGGGAGCCAGCCCCAAACCAAGCCGAACCCCCAGGCTTTGTTTAAAGCGGCCATAAAAACTAAGTCTGCTGGCGTGGGGCAGCAGCACCCAGATTCTCACAGGCTTCTCCCCCTGCTTCACGTCTGCATTTTCACAGAATGGGGGGGGAGGGGGAGATGCACACCAGGGTCCGCCCTGCCCCCCATGCCTCCTTCACTTTCCCTGTGTGCCCTTCTCAAAGGGATGAGATGGCGCTTCGAGGGTCCTGTTCCCTTAAGGGAAATAACTCATTAAGACTCGGGTTTCAGCAGGCAATTACAAACTTACAGGATGCTAAAAAGGAGAGAGCAAGCAACTTCCAGGGTGGGCCAAGCAAGACTGAAAATAATTCCAGTCACAAGACAAACACCAGCTGGTCCCACTTACATGCGCTGTCTGGAGCAGTCCCGGCCAGAGGGGAAACGCCGAGCGAGGGTGCCAGGCCCGGGATGGGGTAAGGGAGAGCTGTGTAACGGGTACAGTTTCAGTTTTACGTGGTCAAGTTCGAGGGATCTGTTGCTTAACAATGAGAATGCACCTAATGCTGCTGAAATGCACACTGAACAAAGGAAACTTACAATAAGTACTAGAGGCCCAGGGCATGAAAATTCATGCACGGGAGGGGAGGGGGGTCCCTCAGCCCAGCCAGCGCCCTCTCACAGTCTGGGAGTCCTCAGGGGATGTCCCACTGACAGCTTAGGACCACTCCTCTGTGGGAGGCAGTCAGGCGGGCGACCCAGGGACGGTGATCCCCCATCACCCTGCTGCTGCCGCAAGGATGGGGAAGGAGACAGGGAGGGAGGGGATCAGAAACAGGTGTTGCTCTGTCCTTCATTAGAGTCCATGTGTGGGACATTTCACAGTTTCATACGACCAGAGGCAGGCAGGTGATCTGTGTATCAAAAAGCTAAAAGAAAAAAAAAAAATAGCACACACACACACACACACACACACACACACACACCTGTTCAAGGTATCTGAAACCTAAATCTGGATGATCTTCAAAAAATCCAGCTGTGAGACGCCGGTAACTATGGGCCCAAAGGAGACTGAGCCGCTGGTGCCCGTGCCCAAACGTGCTGAGCAGCGGCTGGAGCCCTTCCGTACAGACTTCCCATCCGGGAACCCCCGGGCGGTCAGCGGGCTGTCCGAGGCCCTCGCCTCGTTGCCAGCTGGAAAGCTGTGGGTCCACACGGGTTCCCACGCTGCAGAGCAAGTATTTCTCCAAAATGACGCTCTCCTAGGAGGTGGCTCTGACCGCCAGCACCGTCCACTGGTTCCAGAGTGTTCCAGGGCCTCAGCCTAAGACCCGCTGCCCGCCCCAAAGCGGCTGAATGAACACAGCAAAGCACCAACAACGCAGGCGCGCCCCACAGCCGCTGCTGACTCTCCCCTCCAGCCCCCGAGCGGGCCTGCCCGAGCCCGCTGGACAGCGGGGAGCGTGGCTCAGCCCCGAGGGCTCAGGTCGCGGTGTCCCTGCTGCTGCCGGCGCCTCCGAATCCCACCGAGTGGCCCGTCCCGCGCGGAGCACGCTGCTTCCGAGTCAGAGGGGAGAAAGCACAGCCCAGGCCTTAAAACAGCAGCTCCAGGCGCAGTGCAGACTCCCTCCCCGCGGCATGGGCGGCGGGCGCCGGTTCCGAACGGGTGGGTAGGCACACCACACCGCCCAGCGCGAAGTGAGGAAGGCCAGGTGTTCCGGGCAGGAAGACTCCCCGCCCTCCCGCCTCTGCCTCTGCCTCTGCCAATGGCTCTCCGCCAATGTCTCTTGTCCCGTCACTGTCATTGACAAACAGGCCACTGACTGCGTGGTGTCTAGCACGGCCCCAGGCATGACAGCACTCGCCCGAGGGCAGAGGCTGCTCCCATGCAGTTTCAAAGCTCCATCCACAGGCACAAGCACCAGCCATCGGCCCTGGGTGCCCAGGACGGAACAAAGCTCCAACTGCAGACTCGATTCCCTGTCAAACCAGCTGACAGAGCAGCGATGGGAGGTGCCTCACACTGCTTCCTGGGAACATCCTGGCATCCAGTCTTGGGGTCCCGAATGGCCCCAGAAACCATGCATTGCTGAGTGTGTGCTCCTAGCTACAATACAATACCACCCAGCCATACCACACACACCACACACACCACACACACACACACACACACACACACACACGAATGAATAGCCAATCAGCAGCTACAGGCCAACCCCGTCACCTGCAGCTCCTGGAGCGCAGGGACCAGTCAGGACCAGCTTTACTCCCAGAGCCTGGCGGGTTTGGCACCCAGGGGCTCACTCCGACAGGAACTTCAGCAGCCCTCATTGCTCTTCAGAGCTTCAAAACATGCAATGTGCCCTCCTCATTCTTAGCATCAGCCTTGATTCCATCCTAAAGTATGCGTCCCCTTGGGCAGCCCCAGCGAGCTGTGCACCCAGAGCTCAGTGCCTGCATTGCAGCGGGACACGTGACCGCACGCCCCACGCTCCCTTGCAGCTCTCTGTGCCCGTGCTAAGTTCTGGCCAATCAGATCAGCAGGCGTGTGAAGTGGCAGCCTCTGGAATTTGCTTATAGGTGGAAGGTAGCCTCTTGATTCTCCTTCCTGTTGGCTGGAATGAAGGCTTGATGGCCAGAGCCCACGCAGCCCCCTCGCAGCATCAGCACCACATAACGAAGGGCAGTAAAGCAGCAAGACAGAGGAGCCCCAGACTCAAATGGTCTAGAACGGAGAGGAGCGAAGAGTGAGGCAATTATCTTGTTCAAATTCTGCTATTTGAGGGTTTCTGTCCCTTTGGACTGAAATGATTCTAAAACTGGTGTCGACACCCACACAGCCAGTATACCTCACTGTAACATTCCCCTCAAAGCTTGGGGCAACAGGCTGCCTTACTCTTCACGGAGGCCGCAACCACCGCACCAGCCAGCTCATTCCCGGTGAGCTCTAAAGGGTAGGGGTGAGGAACCGCCTGGACCAGTGGGCGCAGACCACAGGACACCCCTCTACCACCTGCCAGACCACATGTATCCACCGGGACATTCAGAACACAGTAACTTCCTCCCACCTCGCAGCACACTGCTGTGCTGCAAGCCAGGCTCCCCACAGAGGAAGCGGGAAACACAGATATTACCAAAAGAACGAGGTGAAACTTCCCCCAATAGAAGCTCTTCCTCCCCGACCCTTGTGCCGGGGCCACGTTAGAGGGTCCGACTTAGACAACGCCAGCGATCAGACTTCACGAGAAAATGCTGGTCGATCCACAGTCAGTGACATACACGGGCTCCCAGGACTTCTCCGTGAGCTGCCAAGCTCACCGAATCCAGTCCCAGGAGCAGACACTCGCTTCCGGTTCCCACAGTTCCATGTTTGGCTCTGTCCCCTCAGTCACGGAACTCACCGGGCCCTTCAGCTGAGTGGCCGTGAGCAGCCGACACACAGAACCAGCAAACGGGGACTTCACACGCACCCATCTTTCATCTTCGGACAAATTCTGGGAGGGGGTTCTGGAGGTGCCCACTCTGTGCCTCGGGACACGGCACAGACAGGTAGATGGCGTGACCTGCCCCACATCCCAGGCCAGATAGCTGCCGAGCGGCTTCAAATGCGTCGCATTCTTTTTTCTTTTCTTTTTCTTTTTTTTTTTAATATATTTTATTGATTTTTCACAGAGTGGAAGAGAGAGGGATAGAGAGTTAGAAACATCGATGAGAGAGAATCATCAATCAGCTGCCTCTTGCACACCCCCCACTGGGGATGTGCCCGCAACCAAGGTACATGCCCCTGCCCAGAATCGAACCCGGGACCTTTCAGTCCGCAGGCCGACGCTCTATCCACTGAGCAAAACCGGTCCCGGCAAATGCGTCACATTCTTAACCACACACCCGACTTGCCACGCTGCCTCTCTCCTCCTGTGCCACGGGGAAGCCCAGGTGTCACAGAGAGCGCCAACCACGCTCACAGGAGCTGCAGGGGCAGCGTGGGGCCCACAGAGCACGGCTGGCTGGCCTCTCCAGACGTTCACTCTCTGGTGGACGCTTCACCGGGGAGTGAGCAGGCAGCCAGGTCACTCTGACCCGCCAACGGTTCTTGGGTGGGAAATGCCGCTGAGCCCACGGGAACCGGGGACCCGTGAGCTGCTGGAGCAGAAAAGAGCAAGAAAACCTCGTCCTGGAGCCCCCACACAGGCCCTGGCCGGCGGGGCAGCAAGTGAGAGAAGCCCTTCAGAAAGCCGGCTCGGCGTCCCTGTCCTCCAACACCCACCACTGACAGCGACGCCGACGCAGGTTACAGACGAGGGGTCAGTGCGGAGGCCGAGGGCCCGCTCCGACCTGGCTGCCGCCCTCCGACGGACGCGGGCCATGCGGCAGGGGCTGGAGGCAGAGTCCAAAGTGAAAATGCTGTAGCTCTGTAGTTCCTCTGTGTCATCATAAACAACAAAAAGGTGTGCGGGGGAGAGGGGTAAGGGGGGAGCCTCATTCCTCCTGGGAAGCCAAGCTCAAGGCTGGTCCGCAGCCTGGCTGACAGCTGGCAGCTAGC